CAGAAGACCACTTTGCGCCTGCCAAGGCCAATAGTTCTGGCCTAGCGAAAGAACAAAGGTTGGTGTCAACCATTAACTGAGTTGCACATCGAATTTCTTCAATTCTGGTTTGATGTAGAGTTTGTTGGTTGTAGTCTAGGTCCTATCACTATGTTTTTGTTGGGTCTTTGTAACTTGTAGTTGCACCGACGCTTCTGGTATTTCGAGGCACCAGACCTCCAAAGAAAATCAAGAACCACCGGTGGTGTTCATTAATAACCACCACAGTACAAAAACGAACCCACCGAAGCATATCTCTCCACGCCTCAAGGCACAGCAAGTCATTGAGTTAATCTCTGCCCAACGATACTGCTGGGACGAGTGCCATCCCAACCTTGTCAAAAGCGGACTGTTTCTTGGCTGAAGAAAAATGTGTTAGGAATGTTCGAAACAAAACCATTGGAAGGTACTTGTAACTACCCTTCTGCACTGCTCGAGACATAGAGGGATGACTTCACAAATGTGTCCCCTTCTTTGAAACACCGATGGCGGGAGCTTGCACAAATGTTGGAGATCAACCAAAAGGCATGAAATGTGAAAGAAACACAAGGCCAATACAAACAAAGATCTATAACTATGGATTTTGTTAGTCCATGAAATGTCCATTTTTCTCCATCCCAAATCCTTCACATTTCACCTCTCTTCCCCTGCACCCAGCTCCAGTCTTTCCCCGCTCTTCTGGGTTTCCCAGACGCAGATCCCAATCCAAGACCAGGTCCGGGCGCCGCACGCGCCTAGCCAATACCCAACAAGCTGTATGACCACCGGCTTTCGGGTTGTGTGTTCAAGAACGTCTACAGCAAGGTTGAAGCATCTGAACTGGGCATGATTGTCTATGATCAATATGTCTATGGTTGTAAATGAATCGCTGCAAAAGACCTTTTTGCCATCACTATAAGTATTTTGTGCTCAGTTCAAGACTGACACTGCAAACTGCAGCGGCAGGAGAGGGTTTGAACCAGCCACCCTACATTGAGGGTGATGTGGATAATGAGTAAATGATTCATGGGATTCATGGCTGACATGCACAACATACAATACAACAACATATTCAAAAGGAACCATCTAACAAAACTCTCAAAGTATTAGTAGACTAAGTCCGCAACTCCGGAAGACATTGGCTGCAACCCGCATAACTTGGGGAGCAAACCTGTGAAGTTGCTCTCATGTCGCATGTGGATCACTTCGAGATCAAGATGAGCATGTTGAGCAGCCAAGGGCCCGTTCCGATAGAACTATTGAGCAGAGCTTGAGAGGATCAGCACTGACAAGAAGCCACCTGAGAGCTTTGGGACAAAACGCAAGGCAAGTGCACGATACATGATGGTCACTTGACATATATACGTCTTTTGGACCAATACAAGTGGAAAATATTGAACATCACTACAAGTAACATAGAACACAACATGAAGCCATCTTGAAGCTTTTGGATGTTCTCCTCACCTTGGATCATGATCGCTTCCCTTGGTGGAGCACCGGGAGAAGGACGTAGACTTCGTATCTGCGCACATGCGAATAGCCACCGGCTACAATTTGGCCCAATGGAACGGTCTCCAGAGGCTTCTCCTGAAGACCTGGGAAAGTCACAATGGTTCACCAAGCGACTCCATGTCCGGAGTTTTGATGAGTGTTGTCAAGCATGCTGGGAGTCAAAATTCTACCCTTTTGCCACCAAAGTATGTCACTGGATCACCTACAACACTCGCTGAACCAACTGTAGTGGTAGTCGTTGCTGTGATCTGGCACCTCCACAAATCACTGGCGGATGTACAGCATGTTGTTTGTTGCATCCCAAGCTGCTCTCAACCTCAAGCGTGCAGAAAAAAACAGAGCCATTGTCCAGCTGAGACCAAGAGTCCGACTGAGGATCATAGCTCCACAGGTCGTTGTAGCGAGTCGACGCACTGTCACGTCCACCAACCACTAGCATTCTTTGGTTCAGAGTATCCCACACAGCTGCATGGTTCTCACGCACAAAGCCTGAACTGGTGAGCTGAGTCTACGAATTTCCAGTGGTGTCATATTTCCAAAGCTCTGAGTCCACACCACCGAAGATGTAGAGTGCGCAGAGGCCCAAACGACGCTATGGACGTTGCGAGCAGCGGGTCCGGTGCTGTGTTGAGTCCAAGTACGGGTGCTTGGGTTGAAGCTCCAAAGGTCATCAAGATATGCACCTGCCAGTGGACAGAGGACATGGGAGGTCAAGTTGTCAAGGCCCGAATCTTGATTAAAAATTTGAAAGAAGAACTTCATAACAGACAAACTCTAAACCATGAAACAAGCCCCCTAGTTCGACGTCCCCTTCCCGACCCATCGGGACCTGTCCATCCACCGAACATCCACAAAAGCTGGTTGTTGGAGTCCCAAGCAGCAAAGTGGCCATTCCGCGCATTGGGTGCTGCTCTAGTGCCATCATGCTGAAGGTTTCAAGTGAGGCTTCCATCTAAGGTCCACAAGTCGTTCAAATAGCCTCCAGAAGGTCCTCCCCCGAACATCCAAAGGATTCCGGCAGCTGATGCAGTTGCCGGCCAATTACGGTCTGCTGGTGTTCCACCTGTTCCAGCTGTGGTCGTGCTGGTGCCCCTGCCGGTGTTGTCAGCTGGCCAAGTGCGCCGGTGCTTTTGTCAGCTGGTTGTGCGCTGTGGAGGTGCCATAAGCTGGCTGTGCAGGCTGCGTACATTCTTGTTCCAGCCAGTCGCATGTCAACAGGTCGTGGGATTCTGCCTAGCTATCTGGGTCTATGCTGGTGTAATTTGTGGGTTGGGGGGATTATGAATGAATGAGAAGTTATATAATGTGAATGTCAAACTACGCACCTAATCTGCATCAATATTTCTTGGAAAACATTGCGTCGCATGCCAAGTTCTGAAGAATTGTCCTATGCTCTAGTTTTTAAGCCTCGACCTGGTCGGGCGTGCCAAGGCATGCAGTGCTTGTCAGTGCTTGGTGCTGTGTAGTCTAGACATCTTCATTATCTCGCCATACCGCCAAGCACAGCTCAGCCAGATTCTTGCGTAGTCTTTCCAGTCTCTTGGGACACAGTGGCAACTTGATTCAACAAATAGATTGTGTACATCTGAAACTCAAGGAGGCTTGGTTGAGAGGCACATGGTGAGGCACCACATGGCACCACAACATGCTGCAATTCGGATTTCCTGCTTAGTCAGCTGTCCCTCGCCCGCCTTCACAGAGACCGTGGCAACCACCAGGCTTGCTGATGGCCATCACCTGTGGGAATTCTCAAAGGCTCCAAATCTTAGGCTCTATGATGCTCTATGCCCCAAGAATGCCTTGCCGGAGGACTTTCCGAATGATTCACGGAAACCACAGGTCCTTTCTCAGGTAGTGTCCCAGTCGTGCTAGCTTCATCAGTCAACATGTTGCCACTCAGATTCCAAGAGTCACCCAACAAAGAAACACCAATACACTGCCAATCAACAGCGGTCATGTGGGTTCCAGGCCTTTGCCCCAGAACTGATGAGCAAATGCAGACCTTTGGGTGGAGGATGCGAGAAAAAATGTCAGCGGGTAACAAAGTTTCAGTTCTGAACAACTCAGCGCAAAACCACCAAATCAAAGAATTAAAATAAACACATGTGAAAAACAACTATCGAAACCGATGTTTTGCAGCATTGGCTGCGAACATGTGCGTTTTCGGGTCACCAGGCAAATTCAAGTCTTCCCAAACATGAGCCCCCCACATCACAACTCTATCAAACTACCAATGTATTTGGAAAAAATGCCGTAAGCGTTGGAAGGTGCTATCTTGAATCATTCACACTGCAGGGAGGTAAACAAATTTCCATCACACACACAATTGTCATGGCAATTATCCACACAAGTGTGGTTTGTCATTGCAATAACCAACTGTTTTTGTTCCGTTTTTTGGTTTGTGGCAGCATGACAATTGCAGTTATGCTGCCAACTTGCCAACCACCAAAAAAACCCGACAGAAACGCAATGGTCGCTGCATAAACTGCCCAGCCGGGCATGAACACACTCAATGCTGCACAACGTGACAACGTGTACGATCAACACGCGTCACTTGTTGAAATGAGGCATCCTTACAAAAATGTTTCTACATATCCAAAAGACAGACCTAAAAAGATAGGAAATGTAGCTAAGAATGAAACAGGATTCCCAACTCCAAGTGTTGACAAACATAATGTATTCGTACCTGCTAGCAGCATTCGACTCACATGCGTCAGCATTTGTCAGCCGCAGCATTGTTTACGCACGCACATGCCCTGCGTGATCCATCGGATGCTATTTTTCAAAGGTATTTCTTCGCGGCGATTTCATCGAATCTATCACATGCTGTCGATTTAGGTTCCTGTAACAAAAAATTGCAATATGTGTGTTCAAAACAAATTGCGGTGGTTTTACAACACAGATGCATAAGTCATAAATAGAACAGAAAGAAAAAGAGAGAGAGAGAGAGACAGACAGACAAACACGTACATGCGCAAGGGAGGGACGAGCTGTTCAAACAGGTGTGGGATGTGCAAATGGACGATGGAAACATGCAGGCTTCTTTTGGAAAACCTTTTGGTGAGGCACTAGGCGGAAGACTTTTTATCCAATCACATAAGCTAGTTGGCAAATAGAACAAATTATATAACATATCCATCTTAACCAGCGATCCCCACTATGTTCGAAGAACATATAGTTGACACCAGCAGTGAACTAAGTTCAATCACAGATCTATTGAGCTACGATCAACGAGTTTCCCGGCTTACCATGGAACATGCCAACGTACCAAAGACGCACCATGCCATGACATCATCGAACAGTTGGCCTACGCCATGTACCATGCCTGGAGCATCCTGGAACTAGATATTTGATATTTGTAACTGGCAAGTCTACGCATTCAAGCGGGTTCATCGCCCCCAAGGTATCCCAAAGTTTAGAAACCAATAGAAGTTCAAGCCATCATCCAATGCTATTCCAATGCTTTATTTTTAGCGTGTCACTGAAATCGCCGGAAGTGGCATGGTGTGGCACGCACGATGCCACGAAACATGGCCGAATGAGCTCAGCCTCAAGATGAGGCTCCCAGCACGGCTCAGCCTTAATAAAGTTCTGTACTTCCCCGCTGCATGCAGCAACGGCACCCCGAAATGTGCTGAAACTCTGCCACGGCCGCGTTTCCCTGTTGCCGGTGCGCCAAATGACTAAGACCAATTTGGGATCCAAATGAATATCTGCCAGAGGCCGTAGCCAAATGAGCCATGGACGAAGCCGACTAAAACACAAGTTGCGCCTTCACACTCGTGCCTACGGAGGCACCAGCCAATTAAAACACCAAAACAAAAACCGCCACCAAACAAAAAGACACCAAAACCATCCACAACCTGTATGAAAACATCAGCAGCCAGACCACCAAAAACACCGCCACTAGCCAGCACCAGCACCACAATACCCAAAAACCAACCAAACACCAGCACACCAAAACCAGGGAAAAAAAAGAAAAAAGGCTAAACACCATGGAACAGCATCAGCACAAGTAAAACACAGAACACGACCAGCAACTACCTGGACACGAACAGCACCCGAAACGACGATTCCGTGCGAGACTTCCTCAAGTCTTGCAGGGCAACTTCAAACCAAGGATGCTGTCCCATAGGTCCTCCACTACTTGTGCATAGGACTTGCGACCTATTCTCATGCGACTACTTGTTTGAATGACTGCTTGACTTGCTACCTATGTTCATTAATCATATTTGTCCGTAACTTGGAAATATGCTCCCCAAACTTCTTTGGATTCTATTTCAACAATGATACATGCGACCAAAACCAGGACAGGTGACAGGGCAACGTCTGGTAGCAGCTAGCATTGCATCTAATTCGGCAAACGGCCATCAGCTCTTGCCAAAAAAATAAATCAAACCGTAAGGACACACCCGAGTCACACAAGGACAATCTCCGCCATCTCCGGAATCTGCTCAGTCGTCATCAACTTCAGCATCGTGCTCGCCTTGCGAAAACAAGTGGACCACAAGAGAAATGGTTGCTGCTGAACTCCTAGAGTCTCGAGCGCCAATCAGAAATAGCAGCCAACCGCTGTCTGTTTAGAGACCCTCAGTGATCTCAGAAAAAATGTAAGACTCTTCTACTCTTATGCTTCTCTATTCTTCTCTCTCGCTCTCTCTCTCTAGAAAATGTTGCCAGCTCTTAATGGGAACTCTTCCGATGTCTTAACGAGGATTACAGGAACTTGCAAAGCTGGCAGCATTTTAAGCACTTGCGATTTCCACAAGAGAACATCACGTTGAGGTCTAAAGGGATTAGTTGCTTCTTGACCATTGCATCCAGCCAAAAAAAAAGTGCAGCACGCAAACGAAGAAAAGAAGAGTGAGCGTTTCTCAGAAAGAAGTGATTTTGTCCGAATTCGGATGGTGCAAACAAGCATGTGCAGGGACATCCAGCGAGAACTTTTCCAGTCCGGGAGCGAGAATTGTTCCAGTTCGGGGCTGGGGTTTCTGTGAGAACATGCTCTGAAGACCCGGTTGTAATCTGCTCTTGCGACCCCTACCGACCTTTAGTAGCACGCTTTTAGGTACAGCATAATTTTTTGTGCGTAAATCTTATGCAGCACAACTTGTTCTTGTGCCTAACTTCCATTAGCACGTCTTTGGTACACGGTTTTTTCCGTTCCTAACTTTTCCGCCAAACAAAACAACTTTGGGTTCTCAGAAAACAGACCCAAAAAAGAGCAAAAAAACTGTGTCCAAGGAAATGCCATGCCATCAACTACCTACTGGATCAAGCTTCTGGTAAGATCAAGCTGTTGGCAAGATCAAGTTGTTGTGAAATAGGCTGGTGAATGTTGAAGATTGTGCCATGAAAATGGGCTCATTTGGGAATCTCCGTTCTGAAATGTATTTTTTGTGTTGGAAGTCGATGAAGAAAGCACAGAAACTTGATGACTGAAAGTGATCAACAATCAAAAGGCAAAATTACAAGTACCTTCACAAATAGCACTTGATGGTTTTTGAATCCCACCCGAAGCTATATCTTCAAATGACTGATGGCCCGCTGAAATCTGATCACTTAATTTTCAGATATGTTCACTGTTTGTCTGGCAAGCCGCCTGTATTGAAGATCTTTCTTTGACATGCTTGATGCAACCTCCACAAAATACACCTACATGCCCTGAATGCAGCACAAAAAGGTAAACCAAATAATGCACATTGCGGATGAAATGTCAGGGTTTGAGGATCCAAGATGTGGCCTTCAACTCTTCTTCATTCACATCCTCGACAGGACCCTTCTGCTGGTGGCGGCCCGGCCCAATATACCTTGGAAAATGCAAACATGTCCTCACATGCCCGGTGTCTCTCGGTTAGTGGCTATAAGTGGTTGACTGTAGACTCCATTGCTTTTCATAGTTAGAAACCACGACCAACACCAAGACCACCACTAATGACAATAAAAAAGCGATAAATTGCAGCTCGATCCATGGTGGGTTGGGTTAATCAAGATATGTAATCACCGCCACTGAAAGCAATTGAAAAAAAATATAGTTTCAACAAACATATAGGCTAGGATACCGAATCCAGCATCTAAACGTTTTTGAGGGCTGCACATGTCCTTTGCCTGGGAGCATTTCTAAGATTTGATACCATTCATGTTCGATACACCGCTGGCAAAATAGAACAATACCAGCAACAGATCTCAAAAAGTTTAGGTGTAGCAAGTAGCAAGGGTTCTTGTGAAATTAAACCATTCTTGTGTTCCTGGTTGCCAACGCAAACCCAAATGGTAAGTCTCCAAAGCACTCGTGGCTGTAGCACACGCGGCGCACCACTGGACGACGATGCGCGACATCGTTGTCCAAGGGAGCTTTCGGTGCTCGGCCGCAGGTGTGCTTCGGAGGTCTGCCCGCCCGCCTCACTCCATCCCTCTCGCGGACGCAGGCAACGCAGTCCTAAGTTGAACGCATGAGAACTTAAGGATCAACGCAGAGATGTTGAAGAAGTTGAAGGCAACATTTCTGTAGAAATCCTCACAGTCCGAGCACTTAAGGCACCATTTTTGAAAGGCACCAAAACAAATAACCATTCGACCAATGAATCATGCACGCATTGCTCACCACTTACGAAGCACAGGAACTTGCGACTTCTTGCATGGCAGCCTATGCTACCTAGTCTCCGCATCAAAGACAGGAGGTTCAACGTCGATGTTGTCAACCACATCACCTACGCTGGAAGACGGCATTACAAATGCTGGGTCTTCTGATCTCAAACCCAAGTGTTGGAAACCTCACCAATGCTTACTGACGTCAACATGGTCGTATGTGCATCCTTCGGTCAAAAGCACCGGGCTTACTCAAATGTCAGGACCCATGGGTCTATGGGTACCTTCTCAAGACTAGTTCATTCTGGTCGGCAGCTTGAAGCAAAGGCCACCAAAACACTAACCAGTCGCAGTTTTGAGAGACTGCGCACAGCTCCACTTTTCATTGAATAAATGAAAGCCTTTGGTTCTCAAGAAGCTTGCTGCAGGTTTGAAACACGTTGAAACCATCTGCTAGAAGACCGTCAGGGTAATAAGTGGCAAATTGACCTACAGTATCAGCAGCATTTGTGTGCACTAGGCGGCCCATCAGCAGCATCGCCACCAGTGCGGGAACTAGCACATCGTGGATTTGGAGTGGGTGATCAAACCTTGTGGCCTGTAGAACAGCAAGATGATTCAAAACGATCACTTCATGTTGGTCATTGGTTGTTCCCAACCGGCATTACAAAAACAATCACAAGCCACGAACAATACGAGCAACATCGAGCAACTATCCATAACACATGACATCCCAAGCTGTCCTTCACAAATACGTCTCATCCTAGTCACCATCGCTTACCATGGTGAGGCCACCAAATCGTGCAGAGTTCTGGTGGCCGACCCTTCGTGCCGAGCCTTCGTGCCCAGCCGAGCCGCCCTCCAGCCGCTTGGCTTCCCGTTTGCGCTTCCTCGTGAAGCCTGGCACTCCCCGCACTGATCTGGACGGCATCACACTTAGTCGGTGAGTGATCCGATCTTGGAGGCTAACTCAAACGATATTGTTAACTTGCATTATTTGTTGAGTGATCTACAACGTTATTGTCAACTTGTTTTACCTAGACTTGTTAAACATTGTTAACTTGTTTGACCTAGCATCGTTGTGAAAGCTCACTTTAGATCAAACAAGTTAATAATATTTAGCAATTGCTGATGTTCATTGTGACTATTTGTGACTTGGGTTCCCTCAAAAACTACTTCACGTAGATGGGGTACTCACTACAGATTCTTCGCGCGGCATCGAGCTATAAAGACAAACTGGGGCAGAACTGTACAAGTCCCAAATGATAATGAAAACTGGCAGGATACGGTAAGGGATGCCACGCGCATCTTTGAAAACCGTCTTGAAAAACGCAGGAAGTGACCGGGAAGTGACTGGGAAGTGGGTTTTTCCAAGCCAAGGTGCACCATCCGGATGGTGTAGAAATCTAATAGGCTCAGATCGTAAGCAAGTGGACACAGTAACATCAAACAAAACTCAGGAGGAAACATAGATTGTTCAGACACTGTTAAAATGTGTTCACATGTTCCGTCTCTTCCTCGAACACAAATTCTTCCTGTTTTATAACATTCGCATACCTTTCCAAACATAAAGAGACACAGGAGGAAGCTTAACACCATGGAGCTGGAGCCGGTCCTTCCGAAAGGCTGGCAGTCATTGGCTTTCCATTTGTCGTGGTTGGTCGCCACAAGTACGGTGCTTTGCTTCGATGCCTTAGATGCAGTGTCACATCTGAGCAGCTCGAGGCGAAACGCTTCACGACCTGCGACTGATGGGTACTACTTGGATATATGTGGTGCTCAGTCGGTGGTGGGAGTTGGGAAATTGAAGGAGCCAAATGACACTTTTGCAATTCCAAGCGCGGGACCATGACATTCGCAGTTGTTAGAATTGCCGCATTGGAGCATGGGATGCCTCTTTGATTTCAACCATTCTGCGCTGCTCCGACCGCTTTGAAACGTCCCAGTGGCGAACCGAGCGCCTCTTGCGAGGTCTTGCAGAACAAGCGCATGCCTGCACCGAGGATTCGTCAGACCACTCGTCGGAATGGATGCGACGAATTCGTCTGACAAATCGCTGTCTCAGTTTGGCGAATGGGTTGGCATGTGGTTCCGACACATGTGGTTCCGTAGCTGTGAAAGAGAGTCTCCCTCACATCGTGGAGAGTCTCCCTCATCCTGAACGAGACCGCCGGACCCGCAAGAACTACATAGGTCGACCTAGTTCACTACGTGTGCAGCGGCAAGCATCTGTGACCAAACCAAGCTACAATGATACATCCTCAAAATAACCCCCAGCAACAGAACCGAAGTACCACAGCTGTGCTTCTTCCAGGGTCTACTGGGGCAATCAACCGAATCCTTCACCATTCTCAAACAGAAATGCTTTGCAGGTCTTGGTGGGTTACCCTTCCACCAAGGGCCAAAGGAAGACCCACCAAGCGTTGATCGATGGCTTCCACAGCCATGTCCCTGTGAGTCCTGATGCTACGATCAGCTCTGCAGCGAGAGTGCTTGCCCGAGGGCCAATGCCATAACCTGGCAGGTCTGGCCCAACAGCGACAAGTCGGTTTCCACACAGTATGGTAGAGACAGAATCTGGTGGAACAACACCTTTTCAACGGGGTCTTGAAGTTTGATGACGCATGATGATGCGAGATCTCACCGACGCCAAGTATTTCTTGCCCTACCAGAAGAAATAGCGCTACCACTAGTCACTTGCAGTCACTACTCGCCCCGGACAAGGGTTTGCATCCACCATGGCCAATGATTGAGGTCACAAATTGATATAACCATGGTCAATACTTGCGATACTGATGGTCAATAACCACTTGGATGACCATCAGTCTTGGCCAATAGCATTGAACTTTGGTGAGTGGACTGATGGTGCTTAAGCCTGTTTGACAGTAGGTAACCAACACTAAGAAACAATGAACATGTCAAAGGTTGTTGGGGCAATTTTTGTTTCCCCACAAAAAGAGAGAATAGCCTCAATAGCCAGAGTTGTTCACCATAACAAACAGTTTGTCGATCACAGATCCTGTGGATGTCACTTGGCCGCCCAGCCTTGCCATGGTGGGAGCACCACCAGGCGCGATTCGCGCATGGCGTTGTGGATTTGGCCCGGCTGTGCAGAGACGGCGTGAAAAGCCACGAGTTCCTGGAGATTCAACGGAGATTCAGCTGACAACTCATGCTGAGATGGTTAGGGGCTGATGGATGTTGATGGTGGTTCATCATGGTTGGTTTCCAAATCTAAGTTGCCAGCTCTTAAAGAGCTCGCATTGGATCCGTCATTTCTTCAACTGGTTGACCTATTTGGAATGGCAATTCTCCAGCCAGCTATTTTACTAGAGGCCAAGATTTGATTCGATGCCGACACACCAGCGACAGATTTGGTTGTATAGTCTTGAGACAAGTGCGGAAGGCAGCTGTGTGGAAATAATCTACCAACTTCAACACTCACATAGTGGAGCCACGGTCCCTTGGATGAAACCTGCGTGTGTCGATGTGTGAGCCCGACGTGACAATGCAGCCCGACGCGACAATCGGCGTCTGTTAAGGGACATCAATGACAGACTCCAATCTGAATAGGTGCCAGAGGCATTTGTTTTGTGGTAAGTGCGTGCAATTGGTGCATGCAATTGCCTCGGTTGATGGCATCTTGCCCTGATCAGTCCACGGTTCAATTTCTCAAAAAAAAGTTGTCACTGAAGTTTGACAGTCAAGATCTATCCACGCACTGCCAACCGCATACCTTGCGAAGGAATCCGTTGCTGTCAGGCAAAGAAAGCACTTGCAACCCCTCAAACATATCAGTATAAATGCTGCACTCAATGCACTTCTCTAGGTTTAATCTTTGGGGGCGACCTTGGTTGGATCATTTGCGATCTCCTGCGTAGCAAAACGGGACCCCTTGGGGACAGCTACCCTGATGGTCAGGTGCTTACAATACGAACACAATGCGCTTTCAGTCTAGCAGTTCCAAGCCGATACTGGTCAAAGCATACCATGTGCCACCAAACGAAAGGATGTCCTGCAAATGTCAGGTGTCACAAATGCCCTTTGCATTTTCCGGCCCACTTCTCAACGCATATGGGTGTTTCTAGAAATTAAGGGTGTCCCAAATCATCCATTGTTAACAGTTTACAGTAATATATAACCGAACAATTTTTTGGGTCCCCTATATTGAGAAACCACCATACAATACATCGTTAGTGTTGACCCGACTTCATACCTTTCAGACGCTTCGAATCCAAGTTTCTCCGCTGGTCGTCCGGATCAGCTGACCATAGAGACCAGTAGGTAGCAGGCCCTGCAGCTCAGAGGAAGAGACATCACTGCTGTGAACATCTGGCAAGACACAGCACCATGGATGACAGACTTTCAGTGTAGCCTTTTTGCTGAAGGAAGTGCAGGATTGCGAGAGCAAAAGTTAACAAGGCCAAAGATTGATAGAGATAAACAAGGGTGTTAGGAATCCAGTCGGAGTTTCGCGGCTGCGCAGGCTGGAGTGGCTGCAGCAGCAAGTCAGTCAGTCAGTCAGACACTTATCCACTGAGACAGTAAGCCACTCAGACGAGCCGCAGGCGGCTGATACAAATGCTTAGGCACACAAGCTTTACGGGGTGTAAGGGGCACATTCAGGTACCAACGATTCAGCTGGTAAAGGTGGCAGGCTTGTTTCTGAGTGGCTGCACCCAAAAAATCTACCAATGCGGATTCAATGACCAATCAAGCGATTAAGACAAGAGAAAATAGAAACGGCTTCGCAAAGAAAGAGAGTTAGGTTGCGAGAGAGAGAGAGCGAGAGAGAGTTACGTTGAGAGAGAGTGAGGGAGAGAAAACAAATCAGAAAAAGGGGAGACAGAGTGAGAAGTGTGAGGAAGGATTGGAGTGCTGCGCCCTGCGCACCCAAGAATTGTTGGGCCCTGCAAAGGTGGTCCGTTCCCAACGGGGTGGTGGGACTCAAACAAATCCTGGAGGCAGTGGAGAGAACAAGCTACTGTACCACTTAGCTTTAGTGGTCGTCCCCTACCACCCTGAACTGTTGCATCTGGTCGTTTTATGTCTGGTGGCATTTGCTGTACAGAAAACAATCCCTTGCAAATGGTGCAAGGCTCGAAACGGGAACAAAGATCTGCTGGGGTTAACTTTGAAAGGAGGAAAAATCGTACGGGCGGGCTCGATCCTCGGAAAGTTTCCTTTGTCTTTTGTAAGAAAATGGGGTTTGGATGGGTTTTGGGCTTCTGAAACCCTGAATACTGCTGTTAAATCAAGCAAGTATTCCATTTCTTGGGTTTGGAACGCAGATTTTGCATGATTTTGCCAAGCAGCATCCATGTAATGGTGTGCCTCAAAATGGCTGGCGAAAATGTTCCGGCTTCTCGTGCTTGTTTCCAGCCGTCGCATGACCAAATCGATCCTCAAGGCAGGTGGGCAAACATCTTCTGGATCTGATTGGCTGGTCAATGGTTTGTGTTGACAAAGGTATGGAATGGGTCAGGGACTTGAGAAACACATTAGCTTTCCAAGTTGGAACTTCTGATGGAGAATGTCCTCTTGACGTTCTGGCTCCCATGATGTTATATCTAAAAACACTAGTATGAAAATGGCCCCGAATGCGACGTCCAACGGCGTTTTCACGCGTGCGTCAGCGCGGTAAGCTCAAGGGCCGTCCCAAATGGCAGCAGAATGTACCATGGACAGAACTCGGCTGTACACAACATACCAACAACCGGGAAAATTCACACTCAACCTGTTCTTCGAGTCTGTCCGGGAGCTATGTACAATCTGCCATCTAAACATGAATTTCTACAAGTAGTACCGTAGTGCGTTCTGCGTTCAAAGGTAGTGAAACTTCTCTTCTTCGGCAAATCTATGCTCTTGTACGAACCATCGCTCTGCTCGTCGTTTCTCCTGGTTCTTCTCAACATGGTAAACACATGAGCGTAGGACCGAAAGCAATAGGTCCGGCTTCATGCTCTTCGTCAAACAATCACTCAACATTGTGTGTGAGCGCTGATCCGTTCAAGACGATCTCCTCCGTTCGGGAAAATATTGCAGGTGCTCTGAGGTCCCTGCCACAAGTTCTCGTGAATTGCGGCCAACTCAATCCCGAGTCGCTTGTCTGACACTTTGGCAAGTGTCTCTGCGTCGAGGTGATCGCAAAGGCAACGGCAATCCGAAAATTGCAAATGGATTCCCAGTCCTTGCGGCTGCGCAAACAACCCTTCGTCTCGCCGATAAGGGCGCGGATTTTGTCTCCGCTCTCTATACCGGATTGCAACGAAGATGTCTTGGCTTGGAGTGTCGAACGACGCACTCTCTTTATAGTCGTGGACGAAAAAACTAATGGCAACACATGGTAAATGTATGCACCCTCGTCCTTCATCCGCTCCACTTTGGCCAAAAGATGCGCACGTCCTTGCTGCGACTTGAAACCTTTCTCATTGCAGAATGAAGCGTCTGTCACTGTGATAATACCAACATTGCGCCAATCGGTTGTCTTCAAATGCTCTCTGGGAAATCCCAACACGACATCTTCAAGTTGCTTGCGTGCCAAATCGACGACTTTATTGCATTCACGCAATAGCCCAACGGTCGCGCCGTTGATTGCTGGTTGGAGATAACTGACGCGGTACGCCACATCAGGGCGTCCCTGTCTCGCTACCCATGCCAGCGAGCCAACAACAGACCTCAACTGCGCGACCTGATCTGGGCTCAATCTATCTGACAATTATTTCTGGCTGCTGTCCACCTTGATTTTCTTGATCGTTCGGGTGTAGCGTTTTGTTCACCAAAAGCTTTACCGCAGTAGCGGAAGTTCGTGCGCTCCAATGAGACCCAAGGTTGCAGGGTTTTGCCATTTTCGTTGAACATGCAACCGACCCAGATCCCATCCAAGGAACCCTTGAACCCCACCAGCTCCAAGAGGGTCGATCGCCGACGCTCTTGTCGCTTCATGCACAGCCCCACTTAGGTTGCAGCAAAACAGGTCTTTTGATGATTTCGCTGACTGGGGAGATGCCACCCGGGACTTCCACAGTGTGCCGAGGTGTCATCGAAAGTTTTGCTGTTGCTACATGGCTCGAAATGTTGCATCGATTTCTCCAGAACGTGGGTCGGGTACCCATTCAGCCATGAACGAGTATGAAGAATCGCGTTCATTGGCCACAGGCCTGCAGAGCACAAAGACGCTCAGACAGCCATCGATTTGCGCCAAACCAACACGCTGATCGTTTCCAAAGGTGTCAGGTATGAGCAACCGCTATACAGAGGAGCTGTCGGAAAACGACCCATCTTGCGCATTGGTCTTCGCAAATTGTATGATCCCTCAAGGGACAAGTCAATGGCCGCTCACGTGGAGCCACCCGCGTTTTCTCAGAGCTTTGCTGTCATTGGACGAGATGAAGGAACATCTTCGCAACGCCAAAGACTTCATCGCGAAGTATGCCAAGAATGGTGGACGCACAGTTGAAGTCGGTTGCAACGGTGGCCGTCACCCATCAGTTGGCGGAGCATTATGTCTCGCCGCGGTGTCGGTAGAACTGGGATATCGGATACAGCGTGACGCTGGCGCATTACTCTTCTGAGCATTGGCGTGAAATGCGCTGCGGAGGATCCTGCAGTGACTGTCAGTGACTGTCAAGATGTCACCAGAAGCCCGGTTGATTCGCAAGATGCTGAACGCCATACTTCGTCCAGGAGAGCACCGCCGTTGCCTCCACCGCCGCCTGAGCCAGAACCACCAAGGCCATCTACTTCGAAGATCATCCTTCGAGCCTCGAGGTACAGCGAGGATCTACTCATTTGGAGAGGTCTCGAACGGAGATGTCGCAACGCACTCAGGAGACAACAGAGGAACAAGCTGAAGAGATTTCACCCTCGACTATTCATGGACGTCATGCAGAAGATGATCGTGACCGAAAATTGCAAAAGCTGACAGCCACTGTTGAGAAGCTTGCAAAGGTCATTGAGAACATGTCAAAGAAGCAGATGAAAACAGATCCGGTTGAGCTCAAGCCAAAACATAGGTCGCGAACACCAAGGAGAAGACGTCGAGATAGCCGCAGCAATTCGAGGACCCCGCGTAGGGGCCGCCGTCGATCGAAGAGCAGGCACTTGTTGGGCAATGGCGGATAAGGCGACGTCGCCTTTGCTGCGCAGCGCCTTTCTTGGTGCTACCGGTCAATGCAGGCAAGTTCATCACGAAGGTAAATTTCTCCACCCCTGAACTCAAAGGACTGGTCAACCCATTGCACATACTGCTGGATTCCGGGAACACGAAAACCTTATTTCTTTGCCCATACATAGAATTGGGGTTGTCGACGCAGAACATCCCAATAGGTCTTCCCCTTGAACTGTCCTATCTGAAACACATTGTCGAATCCCATGGGGCGCTTGACCGACGACGGAGTCACTCGGGCGCCTGAGTCGGACGATGTGGCATCGTTTGCACGAACCATGGACGACTGTGCCTGCCACGGACGGGGACGTGAACCCTTACTGGATGCTCCTGATCGAAATGCCCTCATGGCGGCATTGGTCTGCTCTGCAGATGTGGCTGCACCTACATAAACAAACCCTTCATCATCTGACGATTCACTCTCATAGGCTAGGTTGGCACTAGGCTTCGGGGCTTGTGGCTTGTTTGCAAACTTGTAACCAGAATCTCCTGCCCAATCTCCCATCCTTCCGCAACGAAGACACTTTGACTTGGACTTCAACTCACGCAGCTTGGCACGACGTTGCTGAATGCTCATCTGGCTACGGACAACCTTGCCTTGGCCTTTACCTTTAAAAACTCTCTGGCCAAAACATTTACCTTTGCCTTTGGCCTTGCTGAATGCATTGAGCTGAAGCTGGATAGCTTCTCCTGCTTGGCGATCGTCGGCCTCTTCAAGGTCCATCATTGCGTTCAAGGCATTTGCATCTTCTTCGTCTTCAAGATAATCGAACTCTTGTTCCTGCACTTCTTCCTCTTCATCAAATCCATCTCCCAACCAGGCGTGGGAGTCGTCTTCATCGAAGTTGGTCTCAAATGTTTCTTCCATGGTTTCCCATGTTGACGACAAACGCTCATCCACTTCAGGGTATGAGACATATGCTTGTGAGTTAAAATGTTAGCCACAAGGGCCTTTAAGTAAGTTATTCCCCAACAGTTTACTGTTGGGGTTCTGTCTTTGGAAAAGAAAAAAGAGCTGGCCACACTCACTGGCCGCGCCCCTGAACTCTGTGGCTGGGCTCTGTGGCCCGGTTTGCTGGAGAGGAGTTTGGCCGAGCAAATAGTCAAGTCATGCCGACAAAAATTCATTGATGAAGCAATTTGCTCTTGGTGTGAAGGTAGGGCGTACCAAGAAATCGATTTTTGACTAATATTGATCTAAACAAATCGTTTTGAAGCTGTTTGGGGTCTATGCTTGTATATGGTTTATATAGTTTTTTGTTTTAAATATGAATTCGCTATGTCTTAATGTAAGCTTGGATGTTTTGGTAGTTCTGCTTTATGTTAATTTATGACTTTTATATGTTCTTTTTTGGCGTCATGTATGTTTTCCATTTATGTGTGCATTGTGTTTCTTAAAGAAGTACATTGTTTTTCATCAAATTTCCTTGATGCTTAAATGTCATTGCTTCTTCAGGGTTTCTGTTTCTGTCTTATTGTTCTTGTGTTGAAAAGTTGGTTTGCAAAGTATTGGTTTCCAGCCAAGTCTATAAATGAAATAACTCACTCTGAAAAAAAAGAAACTATGCAAACCCTCTCCCAGCAGTCAAAAATTTGCCTGCAATCCGAATACAGGCCCTGGATATCTGTCAATGAACGCTAACCGCTAACCTAGCGCACTTTGCTTCCTATGTGAGTGGTGTGGGTACGCCCGGTAAAGCTTGAGGCAAGGCTCGGGCTTTAGGCTCTAGCAACACAAAAACCAAGTCACTTTTGACTGCGTCGTAAAAAGCCAGACCTCTGCCTAGACGTAGAAATGACCGCTACCAGTGAAACCAGCAGGCAGGCACTCAAACCAACAAACAAGGCGCTGACCGTGACCAGGAACACGACTAAGCTTCTCTCTGCCGCGCGTGCACACATGGCTAAAATTCATAACATGAAAGGCACCTTCCTCAGCGTCACAGGGCCGGCCACAGGCCAGGCAGACTTCGCGTCTGCTCGCAGCAGCTCTCGAGGCGCCCGTGCGCAACCTACAGACCTCGCCGCTACCTTCCCAGCCACCGCGCCGCGTCCAATCCACACCTGCGGAGACGCGCCGCGCGGAATCAAAAAAAGACATTTAAAGAATCATAAATGGAAACATATTGAAAACAAAAATCATAAAGATATTACTAAAATATCGAAAAATGAGCCTGTTTCGGCGATGTTTATTTTTCTATTGTTTTCATTTTGATATTATTTTTGTTTTTTGCGTTCAATATGCGCTCATTTATGATTGTTTTATGTTTTTTCTAATTCCGCGCAGCGCGCCTCCGCGGCTGGCGTAGGACGCAGCGCGGTGGCTGGGAAGGTGGCGGCTAGGTCTGTAGGTTGCGCAGTGGCCCTCGAGAGCTGGTGCGTCCGAAGTCCCAGGAGGCAGGTAGGAGGCCACCTAGAGCTGGCCAGGGGAGCAAACGCTAAGTCCTGTTCCTTTCCTTCCCTGCGGCCCTGAGTGCGGCACAGCCTTCACAGACTTGAGGGAATCAGTGTAAACTGAAACCTTCTTTCTTAACGGCTTAAAAGGCGTGAAACATTTTAAACCTTGCGCGCTGCTTGGTTTTTTGCCCCGTGTCTCCAGCATAGAACTTGCCATTGATATTCCCTTGCTTCTATTTGCTAAATGCCTGGTGTCTCATACCAACGTAGCTTCAAGTAAAGCCGCGAAACCTTGCCCTTGGCCCAAGGCCACGTGACACTTTGCGCGTCTGAGATTTAGAACCCTATCAATTCAGAAGTTGATTGTTAGCGCCTGTCTCCGTTTTTTCAATCTTTGGCCCTCGCGAGTCCTGAGCTACACTAGCCCTGATCAATCACATCACGGACATGAAATTTTGGAGGCCTTCTGCATACTTGATATTTTTTGGCTCTCAAACAAAAAACCCTGAACGGACCTTCAACCACACGCCGAAAACGATTGGTGAATTTGCTGAAAGATAGCAAGAAAAACACAAACGCTAAAGGGAAGACATGAAAAATGCACTTCAACAAAACATATGAAAAACCTGAAATAAACATAAAAGATCACATAAAAACAATATATAAAAATATCAAAAACCCAAAAACGCCACTTTGGAAAAACATAAACGAACACATATTGAAATCATAAAAATATCATATAAAAAGTAATCTTTGAAGTCACTCTTTTTGGCTACTTCTAAATTCACAATCATATGCAGAACGATATGTTGATTTGCCTTTTCCTGGATGGTTCGAATAACTCTTGCCCTTCCCAGACATAGGTGAAGAGCGGCCTTGTCATGTCTTGCCACCTTCTCTGAGGTGAAATTGTGAATAACGGTCAATGAGAACCTTGCAATAGCCTTCGAAGTTTGGACGGCGCACGCTTTGCTCACAAAGATCTCCTGACGTGACAAACCAGACAACTCGAGCAACAGTTCGGCGCGAAGACTGTCACTCAGCATCATGGTCGAACCCAATTCCTGCAGCACGGACCACCAACGCTTGCGTCGGTTCGTGTACGACAGCATGGACTCTCCGGCTTGGCGTGACAAAGGGCCTCCGTGGGAATACGAAAGCTTTCATCTTATTCAACAAGTCTTCCAATCCTTCCTCACTGGTCAGGGCATCAAGACCGACGTCCCTGGCGAGCAAAAAGGCATCTCCCCGAGGATCTTGTTCACAAGAATGCTGATGTCTGGCTTGGTGATGACTACTTCCTCTTCTTCTTCGTCTTCTGGTCCGACAGGAGGGAAGCCTGAGAGCTCAGCGTCCTCCTCGGTCCTCAGTACCTCCATTGGGCATATCACCCCTCCGGAAGCTGGCCTTCGGCTTGTTGTTCTCCTTCTACAAGCGAACGCGAAGGCGAGTGCGAAACACCCAATCATGGAATGATGCGGCATCACCGTGGTAGATGTACGAACCAGATTTGGTCTCCAGATAAGTACCGCCTGGTGAGTTCTTGTCGGGATTAAAGCGAAGTCCTGCGACCGACATTTCCTGTCTGTCTGGCCTCAACGGGCAATTTCAAGAACACTTGGTTGCAAATTCTCGGTTTCAACACCTGGATCGGCGGCTCTACGGGTATCCGGGATGCAGTCGGACGGAACCCGAACCTGCTCCGCTACCAATGTGAAAATGGTCCCGAACGCAACGTCCAACGGCGTTTTCATGCGTGCGTCAGCGCGGTGGGCTCAAGGGCCCTGTAAACCCACATGGCAGCAGAATGTACCATGGACAGAACTCGGCTGTACACAGCATACCAACAACAGGGAAAATTCACTAGTTATTAATCACTATTAACCATCGCCATTTACCACTGTTAAAACTATTGGTACAGCATCGCACCATGTTTAATCACCAAGGCTCTTGGGCACTTCAAAGGACACTGCAATGCGTGGCGGTGGACTTCCTTGAGATCAGCCAGGTGCAACTGATAGGAGCATGGGGCCTTGAAGTATTGGTAAGCAACACATCTTTAATTGAGTGTCTATTAGTCTAGTGTACGTATACTGTATACCATTGTAAACAAAAGTATAAGTAACCAACCAACTAACTACATAGTGTGTAGTGTTTCTCTTCCGTGCTTTCGTATCTTCCCATATGAGGAAAGCAAATCCAGAATTGACCAACCAAGAGGGGTATACATCCTGGTGAGTGATAACGAATGATGTTGGGGCATATGCATGTACGCACGCATGTCTGCATTGAGGATGTAGGTTTCAAACTGAAAGCGCCATCAAAATAACGACCTTTATGCTTTCCTCACCATTGATTTCAGATACATGCCCTCTCTCCGGGCACTCCGTGCACACATAGGTTCATGGCATAGAAGATTCTAGGGCGTGTGCCGTAGATCATGCTCTATCAACACCGTTTCTACCACAAGGTGGGCTATATCTTCCCTCAATGGGGGCCTCCACTTAAAGAGAGACCCAGGCTAAAATCACCATCTGGGGCTAAGTTGGACACTGCACGAACCAAATCCCCAAAGTTCATGATTCATGATCCCATTTGATAGTTCTTGTCCACACATGATGACACATCATGGCGCTTTGCTAAGCGAACAATCATTTGCCTCCTAACCTCGGCTGGAACACTTGGGACCTGTTGGATTCAACTTGGCACTTCTATGTTTCGGTGTGACCACTACTGCCCAGCAAAAGCCGCCATTGTTAACAAATCAGTAACCACTACCTATGTCAACCTCCACCATCATTAGTCAGGATCAACCAACCCTTGTGTAAAACCACTGAAACCAACCGTAAATAGTCAACCATCATTAATAATCATTTACAAATCAACTATTACTTAATGACTGCTATCAACAATAACTAACCGGCAATCACCCATATCGTCAATGAACTAATATTGATGACTCATTGATGACCATTACAAACCACTAGTGATCAAGCCTTTTTAGACAATCATGTCTAAACCCTTTCATCTGGTGACTTACAACATGGTTGATCATATGATTTAATGATCAAGTCTAATATCAAACATGATTCATCAACCCTTTCTAGACATGATGAATTAAGAATAATCTTGTAACTCCCTTGTTAATAACTATTGTTCACCATGGTTAACCACTATAAACCAACCATTTGGAGGGTACCCCCATCCTGAAGCATCACCAAGTCCACCACCTCCCCAGTTGGACCCCTGGGACGACCTCACCAAGCGACCCACAGTGAAGTCCTGGACCTGGAGCAGCTCGCCGCTGTCAGCTTCGAAGACCCAGTTCACTCGGAGCCAATCCTCAGCGCGGGCACTTCCACCAGGCTTCAACGTGTGGCTGGTGGTGTCAACTAGTAGTTTGGTTTATTGATGGTTTAACAAGGTTTTGTTGATGGTTGAGCCTCGTGAACCAATGGTTTAAACGGGTGGTTTAGCCAAAATGGGTGGTTTAACCAAACGCCAGTGGAACTGCGAGTGAAACCAAAGTACTAGTGAAACCAATCGATGGCTCACCCATGAACATGGGGACTGCTTGAGGTTTGTGATGAACCAATTGATGGAAGATGATGGAACAATGATAGAGCTTCATGATGGTTTATTCTGTTTAGCCATGGTAATTGAGAATGATGGCTTGTTTGGTGATGGCGGTGGATGACGGACAACCATGGTTAACAATGATGTTTCCTGATGGCTGATGTTTTATGAAGCATCGAATTACGTTTAGTCAATGATTCAAACAAAAAACGGGTTACACAATGGTTGGTGGTTGATACAGAGTGGTTTGTGATGGTCAATGGTTCAAAACACCGACGGTAGGTTAACAACAATTCTCAATAACTGTTGGCTCACCGTCATGGCTAGTGGTCGAGAAACCCATCGAAATCAAGATGGCAAATCTCAACAAACCACCAATCAATGAGGCTTGTAATTTGCAATAAATGCTATGGATGGTTAACAAACCAGAGTCTAAAAAAAAAGAAACGCACTGATAAAACGTTTACTGATGATACCTGGCTACGTTAAGCCTGCTGGGATATTGGGAATGACATCACCTGCCTCGGCAGGCAAAGGTTACCATCAACGCTATGGCTATTACGTCGCCAAGGCTCCGCGATGTCTTTGTGACATCCCGCAACCACCAGCTGAATGCCCCTCTCCATGATGAAAGGATGTATCTTGGTGCACACCTCTCAGCGGAGCGCCAACATCGAATGAACAAAGATCCAAATGTGAATCAACAGAAACAACATATATAGTGAACATTTGAACCGAAGAAAGAGCAAGTAGCTGTGGGAAGAACACATTAGGTTCACTACATACTTTGCAACAAGTCTAATTACATTTATGAACATCAGAAAAAAAAAGGTTACAAAAAGCTGAGCAGGTCTGTAACAATAATTCGCCGCTGCAAAGGGCAAACACTATGTGGTTCAATGTCGATCAGTAATTCTTAAAGGAATCAACGGTCAATAGACGTTAATGGACCCAATCCGGTGGATGCAATCCCCAAGAGACCATAAATGGAGCGGGCAAACTCTGATTCATTATCACACCTATCCAGCTGTCAGATTCCAGCAGCCAAATTCCTGTGGGCCACAACCAAAGCTAGCCATTTGAAACTTCCCAACCTATCAAGAGCCCCACTTGTTGCCTGATATGCCCGATGCCGATCAAGCAAAGATGTAAATTCCTGGGCCGGTACGAAAAGGTCTTTGTGGATGCCTCACCGTTCCAACAGCATTGCGACCAAAACCATATAACAAGCACTTGTGGGTTTGCACCGCCCATCAAATAACAACTGCACTCTAGAGTCTCACACGTTCGTTCACACTCACTTGCTCGGCTTTCGGACGACTTGGATCAGCAGCGCTGTTTTACCAAGCTCGAAGTGGCATGGGGTAACGAGCAAGGTTAAATCACAAAGAGACTGGTGAAGGATCAGTCATCAGAACTGGCCCGGCTAAGGGTTCCCTTCACGAGAAGCTCATTCACGAGCCCAATTTAGATGAAACAAAACTGACCCAGGCCCCCACCAGACATCACTGTGACCAACCTAGTCGACCGACAGGGCGGAAGGCCATAAGGCTTCTACCGTGGACCACCCAGCACGAGCGCCTGTCTCCAGGTTATCCCGGGACGGGTGGTCTGCCGGATTTGCGTCTGTAGCCACTCTATCAATGAAGACTCTACAACGTAATTGAAGAACTAGGTCCCAAAAGACCGATACGAACAAGCATAAATCTTCGCAGCTTGAATAGCCTTTCACGAGCGCCGACTCAACAACTTCCGAGTCGATGAACAGAAGGAGGTCAGCACCCAAAAATCTATCTGAAAAAGTCTCTAGAGCGACAATCGGAGCAAGCATCTCTACAGGTATGATCTGAGTTCGCCTGACCAGCCATCTTCTCTTGAGCTTCTCAGGGACTCGAGCGGTGAATTGTAGGGGGGACATCAACCTCCTATCAAACGGTACCGCACCTACACGATCAGGTTTCCATTCCACGTCACGCGGATCTGGTGAAAACCCGTCCGTGAACAGGACAACATCTGACCTCTTTGAGGCACAAGAATCGATCGTCCTAGGAGGTCCTTGGTTCACAAGTTTCAACCACTGCTTGAGCGACTCAGTCAGCGAAGAGTCCAAGTCGAACGATTCTGAGTCCGATGCAGGGTAGCGAGCGTATTGCCGTTCGGAAATTGCTCGAAGGAACGCTCTTCCCACCTTCCCCCACAACTGACTAGCTCCAAACATCAGTTTGCCTTTGAGCTTGCCCGCATGACCTGGTTCGAGAACTCCTGACTTGAGCACACCTTGCATTTCCTCAGTCAGTTCAAGGCGCCGACCGGCTTTAATTTCGAGAGCCCAGTCCTCTAAGTTGTAGGCGACGCCAAGGATCACTGGCTTTGAACAAAGCTGCAGCTTCTTCGAATCGAACGCCGCACCAAGGATCCAGTGAACTTTCTGAGCCACCTCAAAAGCCGAGTTGATCGAGCCGATCGGTTCGAAGCCATACTTGTCGTCATAGAAATTACATGACACAAGGTTGAACAACGACATGAGGATCTCATTGATGGCGGCCGATCGCCTATTGTAGTTATAATAGACGGCAGAAACTACCCCGAAAGAATGTCCCACCATCACAAAGAAACATGGGTTGCCCGAAGAGGGATCCCTCAGACAGATCACACTGAACTTCCTATGATCAGGACGGATTGCCACTTGTCGATATGCTTTCCTCTCATCCAGCACCCAACCCGCCATCTGCGAGCCAGGCAGCGCCGACCGGAGAGCACGAAGGGCAGCCACGTTCGTGTCTGTTGATGGAAGCTGAAGTTTCTCAGTGATCTGGGTAATCTGGTTGATCAAGTTCGTGGTTGCGCTGTAGCACCCTCTGACCTTGTTCTTTTGGACGACTTCGAACCGTTGAGTCGGAATCCAGTCATCACAATCCAAAAAGGCCGTCACTTGATCAGCTGACTCGAAAGCGTCGGAGTCTCAGGTCATGGACAAGCTCCACGCATTCCTTGTGGCCCTTGAGTACCTGAACATTTGCGAGTTCAGCTACGCTGCAGGGCCCTTGCGCTACCTCTCGGAGCTCGAGGAGCGGCGACACGAGAACCGTGGCTTAGCTTTCTTGCTCACAGTGGACTCCCTCATTCGCAAGAAGGTCTATCGACTGAACTCAGATCAGCGCAAGAATTTTCCCAATTTCTCGGGCACCTTGGTTGAAGTTCTGGCTCACCACAAGCAGCTCTGGAATGATGCGCGCTCGAGTGCCGAGCTTGAGAAGTTCAAACAAGCAGGGCATCAGGAGGCTCCTTCCACTCCACCACGTCGTTCGACCAAACGGACTCGTTCGGAGTCGCCGCTCAAGGTCGCTCCTTCGACCAAAGCCAAGAAGAACAAGGCTCGGCGGGAACGCCAGAAAAAGTTGCTCCAGTCAGCTCGTGAGTTGTTCGACACCAAGAAGAAGGAGCCCACTAAGAAGGACGCTCGTGTGCCACCGGCAGAATGGGCCAAGCTCGATGCCTTCAAGTACAAGGGCGCCAAAACGGTGCCTATGGTACAACTGCTCGTTGGGCTGTCGTTTTGGTGATCAGTGCATGAGTGCTCATGCATGCGTGGAATGCGGCAAGGAGCACCCGTCGGCTCCGGCTTCTCTGCCATTGCCCATGCTGGAGCCACCACGCACGCATGAAGCGTCTGTTCAGTCGCTGACAGTGCCTCCCCTTGGTTGGACGTCTTGGTCAGAGGTGCCGCGCGATGTCAAAGCGATCGCATCGGCTGGGCCGTGGTTCTTGGAGATCTTCTCAGGCACAGCCAACCTTACTCGTGCAGCTCGCGCTGCGGGCCTCAGATGCCTGCCGCCAGTTGACATCACACCATGCGAGCTCGTGCCTCAACCGTTCGATGTGGTTGATGCAGCCAACTGGGACTTCCTGATGGAAATTCTACGGACGGGAACGGTTCGGTTTTTGCATCGCGGCGCTCTTTGCAACACGTTCTCTGCTGCTCGCAAACTGGATGGAGGCCCTCCACCTTTGAGATCGCACGAAGCCCCTATGGGTCTCTCCGAGCTCAAAGAAGACGATCGCTGTCTGGCGCTTTTCGGAAACCTTTTTCTGTACCGCTCGGTGGAAGCTTGTACCGTGGTCTTCACTCAAGGGGGAGATTTCTCCATCGAGAATCCTGAGTTCAGCCCTCCCTTGCTGGAGTTAGTTCGTGGACTTCGACCAGTGCTTCTACGGAGCTCCTTCAGTTAAACCGACTCGGTAATCTTTGGTTTCCCATCAAGCCCTTTTGGCCTTGACTGCTCGGTGCCCAGGTGGTCACCGACATGAGCAACTACGTGGCAAAGTTTGGTCGTCTTCTGCATTCTTCGTGAGCCCACTCTTTTGAGCGATCTGCTCACTCCGAGTGCGTATCTCGCCCACCTCATAGAAAGGCACCGCTGGATGCGCTCGACAAATTTCCGATGAGGTTCACGATGGTGAGGCAAGAGCACATCTGGATGCTTGGTAACAAACTGTTCTCGGAACTCGGCGTGGTCATCACCTGGAATCTCTGGCGCCTCCGCCGAGCGGCAAAGTGTTCCTGCAAAGACGAGCGTGTCTTCCACACTGCAGCCCGCGAGGTCAAAGCGAGCTCCTGAGCACCGGCATCTGCGCCCAGCAGGGCGTCATCGCCTACGATCGTCTTCAAAGTGGCCTTCACGGCGGCGATCGCGTCGCCGAGCATGGCAAATCCCCCAACTGTGAGCATGCGTTTGTCAGCCACGAGACGACAAAGCGCAGTTGAGAGCCACTGGCGACCGAACACTTGGCGGAGACTCAACTCCGGGACATTATAGCAGGATCATAGGTTGTACGATCGACCATGGTGCTCACGATGAAAAGATGCTCACTCGAACCGAAGAAAACACTATAGCGTTAATCCGATCCAGGTGTGGCCGTGAAATTAAAGAACAAGCACCCGGTAAAAATATGAAGACGTGTACGTGCTCAAACTGAAAAATAAACCTGGCGGGCGCGCCCTCCTTCGCGCACGAGCGTCACGAGTTCTCCACTCGAGCATCAAAGAAGGATGCCTCCTCCGGGCGAAAAAGCGCACGCCTTGCACAAGACGCTGACGTCCGGGAGGACTTCACCCACTGATGAACATTCCCGCAGCTTGAATTTGTTGCAGGCGGTCATTTCCTCATCTGAGCTTGGGGGACAGTGGAATTTGTATTCGTAATAACTCCCGGGGCTTGGGGATTTGATGAAAAACTCGATCGAGCTCAACTCAAATTCGTTGGCGTCGACGAGAATGGTGTCTTCTGTTTCCTGCACAAGGTGATCCGACTGAACAAGGTCCCGAACCAGCTGCTTCACCATCGGAGCCCTGCCGAGCGGTTCCGGGTGTACTTGAGTACGAGCGGTCCAGGATTCTTCCAGTTCGCCTGGAGACCAATCTCTTCAGTCGAGCGGCCAGCATGAACGGCTGCATCCAAAAAAGTTACTCTGCAGGAGTGCATGATCAGCTTATTGATCTCGATCGCAAACTTGGTTCTCTGCTCTCTGGTGAGCACATCACACTCATCACACGATCGGCGAGCAACGACCTTCAACCACCACTGCAGCGTCCGAGCGAACGCCGGAGGCCCTGGCAAAAACTCTGACACAGTGTTGAGCTCTGGCAACCAAAAGTCACGGTCTCCTGTGAACAGGTTCGTGAACAAGCCCCACCCTTCTTCGAGGCAGGTCGACTCCCGGAACCCGATCTTCGGAACCACGAAGCGAGCGCCTACTCGCTTGCGATCGACCTTAGTCTGCCACGCAACACCGAACAGGCCTTCATCCTTCATCTCGAGCTCACCTGGGCGTACGTGGATGGCGTCGTCGAACCGAAGGGAAGCAAACACCATACACAAAATCCACCAGATGAAAACTCTGCTACCAAAAGATCGACCGGGACATCAATCACGAGCGTCTCCAGCACTTTGACTATGACTACGTCGATCGGAACAGGGACTGCCTCCTTGAGCATCTTCGCTCCGTCAGCAATGATCCGGTTCTGAAGAGCAACGAATGTGTGGTCTTCAAAATCGGGTGGATCGATTGCCAACCGAGCGCATACCCACTTGACCCCTGCCCTGAAGCTGGGAAGCACGGACGGCCCACACTCCTGATTGTCTCGAAAAAGACAGTACTTGAGAATCCGGTCGATGGCCAACGGAAACACTTGAACAGAGGCCCAACTGCACCACTTCTCAAATCGTTCGAACGACTGAATGTGTGCAGCCATGGTCCGATGAGCTCCTGTGATCAGTACCATCTGTTTGAGCTTCATTCGTTCCCCTCCGAAAGGTCAGAAGACTCAGTCGACTCTTGAAAAAGCTTGGTGTGGGGCCCCGCCCGTCGACCGATGGCCTCGAGCCTAGAGGCCCAATGCCACTTAGGTTTCTTCTCCTTGTCGAGCAGCGGAGAGGATGACGACGAGGATGATGGATCCAACTTAGCCTGCCTCACGGGCTGTTTGAGCGAAATGGCCGATTGCTTTCTGAGTCCTGCGGCTGGATCCAGGTGAACAGGCTTGGGTGTGTGCTCACACAAACCGAACCCTAGTTGAACAGCAGTCAACTCAAAATAGGCTCTCTCAATCGAGGATGTCAGGGATCAAAACAGCTCCAGCATTGTCTCTCTGCCTTGCAGACTTTCGACCACCTCTGACTCGAACAAGTTGGCCAATGCCCAAACCCTATCCATGGAATCTGGGCCTGAAGAGGCCTCCATGGCGCAGATAAAAGCTACGCTTCCTAGAGGGGGACCTATGGATCGCAGTCACGAACGGTTCATCGAAGATGGGGAGAGAGAGCACCCTCGCAACGAACCGACTGGAGGGAGAGATCACGATCGGACCTATACCCCCTGAACTCCATGTGAACAAGGAGGTGCCCTTCCAGCTTCACCTTGACATCGATCCAGGCGGGGGACTGTTCAGTCATTGGAGGCCACCTGAAGGGTTGAAATGCCGAGTGGCTCACGACCTCTCCCGTGTGGGAGTCCCAGCGAGCGCATGGAGCTTGACTGTAGCTGGTCATAGTTCCACAAAGGGTGACCTTGACCGCATCGAGCGTCCTCACCATGAACAGGCTGAAGTGGTAGCCTGTTGAGGGTGCTCGAACTGAGTGCCTGTCCGCCCTGACATTGATGCCTGCCAAGGCATTGGTGACCACCTCATCAAGCAGCCAGCCTTGGAAGGGGCTCTGAACACGACGATCGCGATCATCCAGCACTAAAGTCGATCGCTCACCTTCACCAGCTCCAATCTGAGAAAGATGGTCAGGAAGGGCCGTGTTCAAAGGATTGTGAGCCAAATTTCCTGGGGCGAGCTGCCCCCAGCGCACCCCTCTGCGTCCACGTCGAGCAGCTCTCTCTTGTTGTTGGCGTAGGCGACGACCTGTTGGGTTCTCATTGGAGTGGTTGAGCAACCCCTGAGCTGCCTGGAGCACTGGGCTGCTTGCTGAACAGGAGGGCCTCCTTGAGGCGGAGGAGGTGGCACCAGACCAGGTGCCTCCGTCATGACCGATGGGTCTGTCTCCTGAACAGTGGGCAGAGACGATAAGCCCTCTGCTGTCACATCCTCCTCGAGTCTGGTCCATGAAGAGGTCGATGAAGCATCGTCCCAGCGACTGCTGGCATTGTAGATCTGCTGCCTCAAGGCTGCCGGAGGCGGTTTGGCCTTAGGCTTGACCACAGGTGTGCCTGAAGAGGCTGGGCCCCAACTACCTGAAAAGCTTTTGCCTGGCGAGGCTTCTCGAGAGGAATCTCGCCAAAATGGCATACATATATACTTGATCAAGTAAAGATAAAACAAAGCTGAACAGCAGACTCACAAGTGACCCCCATGACCAGGCCAACCTAACCGACCCATGGGACCTTGATTGCCATCATGCAGCCCGTGCAGGTCCCACGATGATAATTAGGAAAACTGAAAAACAACTTGGCACATGCCTACGTAAAGAAGTATCAAAAGATCTAAAATAAAAAGAATGGGGACGAACAGCAATAAAGCATGCATTTAGTGATGAACAAGAACAAAGGAAAGCAAACCATCACATGACCAAAAAAAAAAAAGCGTCATCATCATCATCATCATCATCATCATCATCAGCAGCATCAGCATCAGCATCAGCATCAGCATCATCATCATCATCATCATCATCATCATCATCATCATCATCATCATGGGCTGCCCCAAGAACTTCTTGCGATCTATGGTTTAAATAAACAAATAAATAAACGCACACACACATTATATATACAACGTATACAATATCAAATATATTATATCTCAACATGATATACATCATCTGCTCACAGCGTCATCCACGGTGATGACACTTCCATTGCTGCAGAGGCTGCGCGCCAGCTGCGCCAGACTGCGCTCTCCGGCGCTCAGCTGGTCGTAGCTGCGCCGTGCTGCGGCCTCTCCCAGGGTCACCGCCTGCGGAGCCATGGATGGAGCCATGGCCAGTGGCATAGCATAGAAACTGATGGATGGAAGGGGTTTAATTGAGATAAATTGGGATGGATGGTTTCATTGGATTGGAGGCATCCCAACATTGTCAGACCAAGCGATTTGGATGGAAGGTAGCTAGCAAATAATGAAAACAAGTCAAACAATAGTAGAACCGTCAATGAAAACGAGTCAAACAACAGAACCATAGCCGAACGCTGTACTCAATGCAACGCCAAAAAAACTCCGTGCATGGCATTCCAAGAGGAGCATCCTATCCTCCCATCTGCCCTGCCTCCAGAAGCTTCTTCTTGTCGCCATATGGAAGTTGATCCCAGACGGACTTCGCTGGGTCCCATTGGAATGGCAAACCTCCACGGGAGCAGATGGTGTGGCTGTCTACGACGCACTGCTTCTGCTTAGTTGGCTCTATAAACACACAACTCAGTGGCGTCGCTGATGCAGAGATGAAGGGATCACCATCTTCTCTTGCCCAAACTCCATGATGTTGGAGTTTGTTTCAATTAAATACGCCCGCGTTACCTTTGCAGGCCTTGCAATACATCTCAATCAGAAACCAATCCTGCAACCAACAGCTACTCAAGCACGAGTATAGTCGCAAAACAAAATCTTAGGCAACACAGCTTTTTTGTACCTAAGAGTCGGTTCATTCATGCTGGTTGTTGAGCATCAATCAGCTGCCATCAACTTTGGACAGGAACTTGTGTGCTGTGCAAAGCTGTGCAGGAATGTTTGGTACAGGCCAGTGATCCCCCTGACTTGGTCTCAGGCCATCAATGGTGTCAAACCGATAGCAAAATGCTCCAAGAAAAGCACCAGGTTTGCCAACAAATGGTAAGATTAAAGCCAGAAACATGCGTTCTTAGCCATTGGATACAACGGGGACATGATGACAGATGCAGAACTGCAAAACCAGCAGTTTCCTTGCAAACCGGTCAGCTTCCCAGCTTCAAACCCTGCGACTGCTTTGAGCAAGTGCTGCTTCATTCTGGTGCAGATTCAAGGGATTTCCCAACCCAACAACAACACTGGCAATCATGTTTGGTCACATGGCAGCTTCTTAGTCGCTTGGATGGGGACCCCAAAAAATGGATTCTACAGAAAAAATATAGTTTTGATGAGTTTTGGATGATTGGATTGGGATACCACCATTTGGGAAAAACATTCATGTTTGGAGTTTAAAAAACCCGACAAATGTGAACAAAAATGACCATGGATGAATCAAAAAAGACGACAGACTGTGCAACGGAGCATGGATGACCATGGCATCCTCCCGCAGTCCACAGCATCGCTGCCTTGGCCGAAGTTCTTCAGGTTGGTGCTCTTCCCAGACCCCGATGGACCGATGATGGCACCGATGCTCCAGGAAAAGCCTTGGCGCGTGGTCCTGTAAGGATATCGCCACTGGTTTTTCAACGGTCAATGGTGATGCTTAAGCCAGTGGTTGTGACACTCAAACATGTTAAGGATGTCTAGGTTCCAAAGGATGTTTAGGTTCTAAAACCTATGGTCATGCACAGTGGTCCATACTCGAAATGAATGATGGGTGTTCATGGTGCTTAATCATGGCCCATGATTTGATGGATGTGAAGGGAACAACTGAAACTTGGAGTTTACTTCATGATCATGTGGAAGATACCAATGCCTTGGATGCCCCCGGGTCACCCTGAACAGTCTAGAACACTGGGAGCTGTGGCAGGGTACTCAACTACCTTCAGCAGAAAGCTTCAAAAGGCTTGGGTGAATCAACACCCGGAGCTGTCGCATGCGTTAAGCCTTCCCATGGTAAGACCAAACAAACGTGACCCGTGGCAAATCTTCCCCCTCTCCCAGCTGCCAAGGTGCTCAAAGCTTCAGGCTTGAGCCGGAAGCACTTTTGCTTAATGCTTCCTGCCACGAATAGGTCCCAACATGTCCCAACTCCATCATACTTCATCCAATGTCAGAACGAAAACTATCGACAAACATCCGCATTGTATCACGTTCAACAGCTTCGGCCAAGTATCCATCAAAGGGATGGTCGAAGGCTTTTGACACCGCTGCTGTGCATTCGTCCAGGCCAACGGACACTTGGAATTCCTGGCCGTCAAAGAAGCATGTGAAGGCTGGAGCCTTGTTCAGGGCTTGTCTGGGTTGACTTGGCCGAACCCTGAACCTACTCATTGAGGTCAGTTGCAGTTCTGTGGTATGTGACAGTGATCACAATGACAAGGTTTGCCCTCAAACATGACAAACACACCTACATTTTTTTCTTGGAAATCCCTGGACAACGAAGAAAAAAACTTGCACAATCGACATCGAAGAAAGTGCGTTACAACAAAGTCACCCGATGCTGCGACGAGCGTTGGAACCCTACTGCATGCCGTGACACAAACCTCGCAAACATGGAAAGAGCATCAAAAGCAACAACGAATGCTCCCTGGCTGCTTTCTACAAACCGGCAGAAAACAGTGACGAACATGTTTGAAGCCCTGCTTGACCAGCAGCACAGATCAATATCTGAACGGCAAGGCCGCTCAAAGCCACACCCAAAGAACCTCTTTTCGGCCCCAAATCAAAAGATTCTCCAAAATCGCTATGTATGAAGCCTGTAGAGAAAACTCAACGGACGAGAGTTGGAAACGTAAACGGACGCGCCTCTCGCACCGAAGCACCCGGGATCCTTTGACCAGTTCTGCTCTGGAGAGGCATGTCATCCAAGGATTCCTCGGGACCACGCCATCCGCCTCCCGGGCCACCAGCAAAGCGCTCCACCGCGGTGTTGATGGACACCATGGGCCTGGTGAAGTGATTGAAGCCGAAGTTATAAGTCAAACACTATTTTTTTGTATCCATCAAGTCAATCACTTAGTTTGGATGGTTCATACATGTTCATACTGAGTGATTCTTCATCCAAATTCAGTATCAAGTGAAGATGATTGAAGTACCTTCTTTAGCATTCCTTTCCATACTGCAGATGTCTTTGGATGGATCTTCTTTACCGGGTCCAATGAATGATGCCAGCATACGACTTAGTGACAGAACCAGCCTACGACTCTGTGTCAAAAACCAGGCGCTCTCGACGTCTGTGTGTCACCAGCCACTCTCGACGTCTGGGTTACCATGTTTACAGGCAAATGTTCACCGCAACTGATCACTCAATGATCACTCAATCATATCAAACCAAACTGCAGCTTGTCAGGCACGCGCAACGCCTGTAGTGGCACGAGCTAGACACAAACATCTATCTATGGTTTCAAGGGAGTACAGCTTTATGCATCTTCACAGAATTCCTTGTGCTGATCTCGACAAGCCAGTTTTAGGCACAACATGTTTGCTGCGCCCAACCCACTTTCAATGCAGCAACTTGAATCTACAGCTGCGGCTGGAGTGCACCTCATCGGACTCGTCAGCGCGGAAATCCCATGACCGTTTCGGTGCACAACCGCCTTGTCCTCAGAGTGGCGCTGGACCGAACCGTGAACACTTCAGCAGTGATTCTAGCAGTTGCACTACTCATTCAACAAGTCCAGCAGCTGTTGCAAATTGGAAAATGGAAAACTATGGTGCTGATACAGGCTGAACCGGTCCCAGCTGCAGGTAGCAGTTCAATCACGAAATCCGGCTGCAAGAAGGGCAGGACCGATTTCTTGCAAGTTGCCTCAAAAAGTGAAGTCCAGATTGGGACCTTGTGCCTGCTATGTGCCTACCACAGTGTCGAATGGAAAGTGACTTGCCAACTCTGAGGAATGTCTAGTCGGGTGGATTGAAACAAAAATGCATAACTGACCACTTTCCGATCCAAACCATGAAATGTGAAGCAGCGGGCACATCATTGTTTGTTGAATTCAAAGCAGGTGAGGCAAAGTCAACAATGCAAACTCTATGAGAACTCTATGAGAAATCGTGTTCAACATTGTTCGACGATGGTCCAAGCAGTGGAATCAAAATGGATCCTCAAACTCAAACTTTGTGCGCTTTGGATGTCAAGGTCCACTGCAGACTAGCAGCCAGAAGGATCCGTCCGCAGTCATGTTGGCACAAATACCGATGGAGTCCGGTGCACAAGGAATGGGCCGTCTCTGCATCGACCATGGCGAAGCGGTCATCGCCAATGCTGCCTGGGATGACAACTTCACCAAACCTGGCGAAATTTCAACAGTCAAACATGGCTATCTTGAAACCCAGCCGGTCAAAGCATCATTTAGGTACTGGCCTATAGGCTCAAAAATGATGGTGTCCAGAGAATCTATTATGGAATTATTTCCCCATCGAACCGATCGCCACTCCCATTCCCTGCTGACAAAAATGCCAACGCAACGTGTGTTCGAAAAACTTGGTTGCAAATATGCGTGAATTCTGGGTGGCGACTGACCCTCCCGACAAAATTGCCGCGCTTTCAGAAGAATATCATCTTTAGGGGGTGCACCGTGCACATCTGCACCATTAACAGGGTTCCCACTGGCAACGCGATTGAATTCATCCCAGGGTCCCAGTTGTCCTTCCTTCAATGAGGTCGCCAGCAGGAAGCGCTCTCGCTCCCCTTGTGAGAGCACGTGGAAAGGCTTCACCCGAGTGGGCAAAGAGTGCATTGCGACTGCCTGGAATTTCAGAGAAATCGACTTCACCTCAGATTGATAACGCTAGGCTATGGTGCTGGTTGTCCAGCTCATGGTTGGAGACCGCTAAAGGTGGATGAGGATTCTGATTCCATTGAGCTGTTCTCACCAAGATGAGCCAAGGAGCGTCTCCACCGTGCAGCTCTGGATAGCTGCATATGGCCGTGTTACCCGCGGCAATGGGAGGCTCAGTTTGCCAAGGGAGGCCATGCAACTCATAGAAGGTGGAGACCGTGTGGAGCGCCTCAGGTGTTGAACTTTGGCACCTGGGCCCCCAACAGCGATCATAAATGATCCCCGGTCGACAGGGTTGGTTTTGAGTTGGATGTTAGAACGAATGTGGAACTTCTGCAAGGCAACTGCTTCCCCACCAGCCTGAAGACCCTTGCACCAAGCCCAAGAGATCCAAGATATGTTGGTTGTTGCTGTGCATGTTTGACGTGTGTGACGCTTTTAAAATTCCACCATTTTGAGGGGTGTGGTTTCCCTGGTGACCCACGGCAAATCCAACATGATGCGATCCCGCTTGGCGAGTGACGCGTCCGCTCAAGATACTGCACATTGGGGTGGGCCAAAATTCCACCACGTGAATATGATTCTTCGATTGTAGATTCGCTATTGAAACACAACAAGGATGGATGTGGCATGTCGCCTACCCACATCCTGCAAACATTGCCAACAAATAGCCTACAAGAGTAAGGAACAAGAGAAGGGATAACCCAGGAATGTCACCATAGGACCAAAAGCGAAGAACGTTCCGGCAACCGTCCCATCTGCAGCACAAGAGGCCGAAGTCTTTCCAGACCCTGTGTCCCCGCAAATTACCCCCAGCTTCCATGCCTCCCAAGGGCGCATTCATTGGCAGGGGTCAACAAGGGTGATTAACGGAATGCTCCGAGAAAGCCATTCATCAGCAACAACGGGGTCCATGCTTCGGATCAAACAAATCATTCACCTTCTGGTTGATTGTTCCTTGGATTTCCCAGTTCCATGCCATTTCGCCACCTCCTATCAGGATACAAGCTCCATCATCCGTAGCTATGGCCCACCACATGTTGGAGATGGTTGGAGGTGGCTCTCAACTCTGGGGATCCCAAACAGCCATATTTTTTGAATGCCTAGGTCCCCAAACATTGAAAAAAAGGATGGGTTTTTCTGTCTTCATCTTAAGCGGTTTCATCCCATAAATAAAAATATAGGAAACACAACTTCAAACGCTGGTGTTCAGGGGTCCTCCTTGTGTTGTCCCTGGCCTCATAGGGCCCTGGCAACTGCGTAAAATCAATGGGAGGATGACGCTGCTCCATGGCTGCGCTTCTGCCAGGCTGAGGGTCCAGGTGGGAACACTGTGAAACCCCATCAAAGGCGTTGTCCTTTTCATACGTGTGCACCTTGTTCAAAGGTCTTTCGTTGGCTCTGGGATGCTCTGGGGCCCCTTGAATGTGCACAGAAATCTCCGCAGAACTTTGCCTTGAGGTAAATTATATAGATAAAGTGAACATAAGCCAGAATGCCTGCTCTTCCCATGTCCACATCAAGAATCAATTACATTCCTTCCAAGAAATAGGAACATTACATTCTTCCAAGGGACCATGCAAGACCATACACCCTAGTTGAAAGGAGTACACTTGGGTCTGTAACCAACATGGGTGCCAAGGGTAATTGCCAAAACCTGCGTCCCTTGCGGGTGCGCGAGTCGTTTCACATTGGGCTCTCCGGCTTCATCGATATGTTCTAAGGACACGATGTCGCCATACCAGCCGAAGACTTGTCTCAGGCCATTCTCCTGGCTGACGCTCAATCAACAATGGTCCAGTCAAATGGTGAGATCACCATGGTTGATGAAAGCAATCCCGAAGACAACGACGTCGAAAAGTTTTGTTGAAAATACAACTCAAAACTGAGGTTTGGAGTACTGTAAATAGAAAAGAGCTGTGAAGCTTGTAGGAATGATCGACCACTGGGTCACCTGCTAGCTGCCTGACTCTCACAACTTGAACTCAACACCATGATCATCAAAATGGCCCGTCTTCCAAAGTCCCAGGGATGATGCCTTTCTTATGGAGAGACACCTGGAGAAGTTGGAATCTTTGCTGAAACAAAAAAGTAGCTGAGACACCTGGAGGCTGACCTCCGTGTATCAGTCAAAACCATCCTGGAACTCGTCCCTTTGATCTCAACGTCTGTCACCACTGAGGCTCCAAACCCCCACATTTGGGCCAGGTCGCAGAGGTAGACCTAGGAGGCCAAGAACCCCCGGAACCCCCTGGCACATCGCTTGGGGTCGCTTCTCCTGATAACTTCTGTTTAACAGATGTGTTTCTCACAGCTCAATTGCCTCACCCACCATGAAGGTACTCCAATCTTGGTTGTTGTGTCCGTTCGCACGATCTCCTACACCTACACACTCAACATTGGTCGCAGGGTTTAATGAAAGGTGGCCCAGCTGCTCTCCCCAAGTTCTGGGAAAATGCACTCGCTAGGAATCTGAGGTCCCATGCCGCAAGGCATCCACCCTGGCTGGTTCAAAGGAAGTTTATGGGATGCTTTGGAATGTTTATTTTCCTGCAAGAGTGTTTTTTGGGAGCGTTTGGGAATTGGTTCGAAATCAACCTTCGCCACTCCTCTGCTTAGCGTTCTACATCGGAGGTCTGTGGGGGAAGCTCCTCGTTCCTCATCTTGCCAGTTCTCCGGTTGCTCTTCTGGGATACCAAAGCTGAAGAGTGCCGTACAGTCACCCTAAACACCATTCTCGCGGAGATTTCCACAACAGCGACTCATCCACCTGGTTCTTGTTTACCATTGACCAAGCCCTGCTTTCTCGGTCCAAAGGTCCAAAGGTCCAATCTGTGCCTGCTCCCATGGCTCCATGAACAGGACGGCCAAGAATGAACCAAGACGTATCTCTCTTGAACATGTGAGTGTTGAAGACAGTCCTAAAAACGTCAATTGCTGCGTTTGAAGACCTGAGTGGTGGATCTACTTCACCACGCCCCTTCGTCATAACCCACAATCTTTGCCCGAAGGCCGCTTCTACTATGTGACACCGTGACTTGCTTTGACTTCATTCACCACGCACGGCTTGAAGACAGAAAAATAGACCAGCGGCGTCATCATCCAGCCACATGAAGGGATGGGATCGGTTTTGCGCATTTAATAAAGCAGCAGAAACCAAAAAAACAGAAGGTTTGGCCTTGCTGACGAAGTCTTGCGGCATGTGTTCCGTAAACGCAACTTGCACGTTCACCACAGCTCATGGCTGCGGTGGGCTAGCAGCTAGCACACCACGAGGCCCACAAATAGATCATTGACTTGCAAGAGGTGCAAAGGAAAACAGGAATCACAAGAAACAGCTCATTTCTTTAGCTCCCTGCTCCAAAACTTTGGGGGTAGGACTCATGCCTTGACAGGAACAATCCCAACATCGGCATGCACAAGCGAGCCGCCTTTTGACAGGTCTGTAATCGATCGCAATTCCATCTTACGGATTTGAACTTCAAACCCCATACTTGCCACATACTCTCGTACCACGATAGTATGTGGGCACTCTATCAGTCAGCGAATCCAGACCAAAATCCTCCTGCGATCATCACACTGCAGCTCCACGGAAAATCATGTCTTTCTATGTTGTGCTTCATGTCAAGCACAGCAAACGGTACTGTGATGGGCAGCCATTACAAATTCACAATGGAACCCTTCTTGCAGCTCAGCAATTGCTGTGCAAGAAGCAATCGGTCAAAATCCATGCCAAGAAGAAGCAGTAGTCTTGTGCTGTGTCCAAAACAATTGATGTCTTCACTGTGTCATCACAGGCTGAGCAACAATAAACATGTAAGTTCACGAATCAAAATCGCTGTTTCTGGAACGTTCGCGTTGGTATGCTTTCCTGCGACGTCGTCTTTGTGACCCAACCGCCACTTGCCTCAGCCGTTTTGGCACCTTGAATCCTTTGCGGCTTTGCTTCTTCAGATCAGTAGCCAATCTGAAAGACGTTGAGAAGAACCAGGGTCCAGAGAGCAAAGAACCAGGGTCTATTCTGGTCTCACTGAAACTGCACAGAGTGGCGTGTCTGCGCAATGCGCTGCTTCACTGCCCCTCTTGTTCTGCAGAGAATTTCATCTGGCAAAACCTCGATTTGGTTTCAGCAGCATGACTGTTGGAAGCAGTCAAGAGAAGGTTTAGCAGGTTCCAGCTTGAGACTTGAGACCTGCTGACAACTCGAACCTCCTACACTCATCAAGGGTCCAGCCTGGCTAGCTGAATATTTGTTTGGGACACAAACAAAACGGCAAGTGCAACTGCCGCCAGCAATACCTACCTGGTGCAGATTCCGTTCAGCAATATACTGGCAACAGCTTCAAAGCCTTTCTGTCTTGATTACAACCATGAGGCATTCGATACATTGCATTGCGCTGTTCACCCAGTCCATATAGCCTTTCCTCTATGAGCAATTGCACTGCTCTGCATTGGCAGGTTGCGACGGAAATTGCAAACAGCTACGCCTCATCTGCAAGGCTGTTCAAGGCAATTGCTGTCATGCCGCATGAACAGCCTTGTCTGCAAAGCGTGGAAAGAATCCACAAACAAACTCTGGACAAACAGTTTGTCACAGCAAGGCATCACATCCAGCACGCTGTCTCGAGAGGAGGGGGAGGTGCCTAGCTCTTTGAGAAACTGCTGATCAAATTGGAAGTCATGCCTTCTGACGTTGCAAGCGCCTCCTTGAAGACTGTTTTGGAGTGTCTACTTTCGAGAATTCCAACAAGCTGCTATTTCCATATGTCATAGGCCTGACTCAAATGGTTTGCCTTTGCTCGCCAAGTCCGAATCAGCCTGACCTAATTGAATTGTTCACCTGCGAAATAATATGGCTCCACTGGAGCACACCTTCACAAAACAAGCAAATCAAAGAGCTACCACACCCACCATGTTGCCAAGAAAAGGAAATACATACACCAGAACTCAAGCAACAGCTCTCGGCAAGCGGAGCATCAGAGGACCAGAAGGCAATCGGAATCTTCCTTTTCAAAGTCCACTTGGCAGCACTAAGAAGCTGCACTGAGCAACCCTCAGCTTGCTGTCCAAAACTGCTGTGGAGTCCACTGCTGCACAAAACCGAGTGGAGATCAATGTGGCACCTAAATGCTGGTGCATTTGTCGTCAATGAACCTGGGCCAACTTGGGCCGCCGAAGTCATACGAGCTATTTCGAAACAACCATTGTGCCTAAGGGCAAAGCATGGCAAAAGCAGTTTTGATTGTTTTATATAATGTGTATGTTTCTGCCAACACATCTTACGAGGGTCACTCTTGCCACAAATGACCAGAAATGCAGCTGGCCAGTGGTTCGGAGAGACCAGCGGTCTGTCCTCTCCTGCTACGTGCTTACATAACCCTGAAGACTTGTATAGCTGACCCGAACGCAACCAATCTTTCTGCAAGTCCGTTTGTTTTCAAGTGGGATCTGACCCAGGCACTCCTCTCGAGGCAATTGAGATCTGGCCTTGATCTCCTATGTCTTCAATAGCTGTGAAGTCTCTGCAGGATTGCCACTAATGAATTGATGTGCTTACTCTGGAGGGCTCATTGTCACGCCCAACTGGATCTCCCAATGTGTGAGCCTGAAAGTGCGGCACCAACGATCGACGGCCTTACACTTCTACCAATGCTTTCTCTGGGACATTGCCTGAAATTTGCCCCTGAACTGACAGGACGAATTGGAGGAATCCCCGCTACCCTACCCTTTGCCTCCAAGAAACTTCATCTTCGCGGGGTTTTCTGGGTGAACTGAGGTTTGACCTAGTGAAGAAAGACGAATCTTCTGATGCAAGGCTATAGTCGAACGTTTTTGTCAGCACCACCAGCATTTCCAAATTAGACAGTCCTTGGTCGCTTTACAATGCCTTCCGCTACTGCACAGAGGTGCTTAGGGGTATCATTTTGGTGAGTCCCCTTAGCATTGATATGGTTTCAAGAAATGACGCAGGAGAAGGCTTACCCTCTGTTTACTAGTAATTTTGGCGTCTTTAGACAGCATTCAACAGAACAAGCAGTACCATCTCCTGTGAGGTGTGCTGCTGCGGCAAAGTGTCTAGGTGCTGAGGGACAAGTTAACATCCTCGACTTGTCACCTGCTAAAGTCTGGCAGGTGTCTTAGACAGTTCAAATATCCTTGCACCGCAACTGGTCAAACCATCATCATGGACGAATGTCCTATGAAGAATAAAGTACCGCCATTCATTCACCTTTCAAGTATGCTAGACTGTTGCAGGTATTCCCAAGACCACAGTCTACCGCATCAAGGACCTTGGGACACAAGTTCACCGAACCTGGGGGCTACTGAAGCTGCTTGGTCCAGAG